CCATAAAAAGGCAACTTTAGTCTTTAAAACATTTAACAAAATAAATGAATAATACAGACCTTTCAACTATACTGACTATCTATGAAGCCTCTAACTGATAAAGATGGAAGCCGGGACAAGACCCACGACCTCCTAACAACTGATACAACCTAAAGGTAAATGAAATCCTCCGGAAGCAAGGAGGCTTGTCATAGCTAATTGGAACTTCTGGATGTATCAACGAATCTTCTGTTGATGATCCTGAATACCTGTGTCTGCATCATAAGAAGATGCAGGCTAAATGGCTTAGTACGTGGAATGTACGAGTATGTAAGCTGGGAAGCTAAACAACATAGGCTAGAAGAAAAACTAGAATAAACTGAATAACTTACCTCTTTACAAACTTTCTCAACTCAAGGAATACTCAAAACTACTCAAACTTACTCAACTAAGAAGATAGATACCGAACTCAGAGATAGATACTCAACTCAGAGATAGATACTCAACTCAAAGATAGATACTCAACTCTGGATACTCGACTCTTGAATAACTGAATTCAATATAAAGCAATAAGACATATGCAATATATATATAGATATATATAACTGATAAAACAGTATAAACAGCTTAGTTCGTTAAAGATAAAACGATAATAAACTCAACTTTACTTATATAAAAGTAATATAACTTTTATGGGAGGTTATTTAACCGACAACCACCACTATGAGCCTTAGTGATGATACAACGTTTTACCTCACGTTGCCCAAGGACCATCCTATACCTTGCCATCGATATAGGACCTTACTTTTACTTAGCGGATCCACTAGCTTAACTTTCGTGATCATCTAAAAGTATGACCCGAGAAATCCCATGTTTGGCTACATGGTTCTTATGGAGAGTTGAGTTAATATGAACTCGTGTCCTCAATTCGGTGCTCAATACTACTCCCAAAAATACTTTGGCTCATGCTTTTAAAATAACTTCTTTCTTTAGTTTGAGATAATTACTCAAAGCTTAGCCCAAAGGCTCTTTTGGAATCAATGTTCCCTTTCTTTGCTCAAATGTGAAAACATTTATCAACTTCTTTGGGAAATACTTAGTTCCCTAATAACTTTTGAGAAAATGAACTCAACTCTTTACTCTTTACTTTACTTGAAACTCTTTACTTTTGACTTAACTTGAAACTCTTGGCTTGATGTGAAACTCTTAACTTAACATGAAACTCTTAACTTTTGACTTGACTTGAAACTCTTAACTCAACTTGAAACTCTTAACTTGACTTGAAACTCTTAACTCTCTACTTAAATTGAAACTTGAGCCTTAAACAAAGTTAAAATGTTCAATAAAGACTCTTGAAAAACTTTAAAGACTTGCTTCTTAACTTTTTAAACTTGACTCTAACTTCACTTGACTTGGATCCTAACTTTCCTCGAATTGGATTATGAATTCAAGGTGTATGATCACACATTTATGGATGAGTTTGGGATGTTTAGATGTATCTTAGAGTATTGGAAACAACTATAAAACATAGGTACTTTACCAAGGAATATGTATGAAAAAGTGGGGAATGAAAGGGAAGGATTGGGGTCCTTGGCGCTATGAGAGGCGCGGGGCGCCAGCCCTCAAACTTCAGAGGGGCCTGCTGGGCGTTCTGCCAGGAGCGCCACCCCAAGGGGAAAAATTCAGAACCCCTTTTGGGGCGTGCTGGTTGGCGCGACGCCCCAGCCCTTTTCCCCCAAAAATTTGACTTTTCCCCCTTCATTTCTCCAACTCTAAACCCTCTCAACCTCAAAGGTTCCAGCAGCAAACACTTAGAATCATAAAGACCCTCAACATACAATAGATTCAACTCAAAAACACAACCGGAAACATGCCTCATATCACCAAGAACTTCAACACAATCACCACCAACAACTTCAACAAACCCAACTAACAATTTCAACAACACAACTTAAGCTTTTCTCGGAATTAAAACAAGTTTGGCGTGTGGGGGAAAGGATCACCCAACACTAAAAGCTCACATACCTTAATAGGGATCACCCCCGACGAAAACCACGACAATCTTTACGGACTTTGCTTCTTCTTCTCTTTCTCCTCTTCTTTCTCTCTTCACTCTCAAACCCTTACTCTCACTTTTAAAAAGGAAAACTGAATAAAATCAATCTAAAACCTTAATATATATCCAAAAGAAATGGTTAGGGAAAAGACCAAAATACCCTTAAAATTTCGGACTAACTGCCCTGCCAATAGCCCAAATTCCAAAGGGCATATCTCACTCATACGAACTCAGAATTGAGCAAACTCAACGGCGTTGGAAATATCATTCCACGAGCTTCGCAAAAATAACTTGAAATACACCTAAGTCATCCTGAGCTAGGAGTTATGACTGCTCAAAGTTGACCAAAAACTCACCTTTTTTTCCATACTTAGCCAAATTTTCCAGAGTTTTGAATTCTTTCCAAAAATGACTATTTCCAATTCAACTCTTCTTGGAACTCAATGTGCTACATCTAGGGACCTTAACACTCAAGAAATTTTTATTCATCGGTAAAATCTCAATCCACATGGAGGACGGCTCGAGTCTTAGTTCGAAAAATTCTCTGGGTATTACAGGAATGATATAGAGGTGAAATTGTACATAGAAGTAAAGAAACATGAGGTAGGATTCGGTATGTATCCACTATGCATTGATACATCGGATAAAAAGTGATGAAGAGATACAAAATTTTGATGCAACAACAGGTGCAATTGTGTGTGTTGAAGGTGGAAAAAGGGATGCAAAGGCTCTAAGCATTGTTGCTTCAAAAATTTGTGATTCCTATTACATACCAAAAATGGAGGTGGAAAATTATATATCAGATACAAATGTTTCTAATGTGGAAGTGAAGCAATTGTACAAGGATAAGGCAACTCTAATGGAAAATACAAAATAAAGCATAGCTTCAATTATAGAGTTTAAAGATCTGATAACAAAAGGTATGTGATACTTTAATCTTATAACATTCTTCATTTTTTATAATTTATTTGCTATTATGTTGATCATGATACACAAATAACATGTAGGTACCATGTTCATTTTGAGTTACTTCTGGTTGTTAATGTATTAATTAAGAAGGATAGGTGTGCGTATTGTGTTCATTGGACACTATAAAGTATCACGTGCATTTTGAGTTACCTCTGTTTATTAAAGTATCAATTAAGAAGGATAAGTGAAATCAGGTTAATAAGTGGATTTCGAATTTGTTATCTGATTTGTATATCAACAATATAAACTGAGTCGTCATCAAACTGTGTGATATATTAATATGTGTGCACATTATTATTTAACTAAAAGTATTTGTAATAATATATGTTGTACTGTTATTTTATTTTTGATATTATGAATTGATACATTAAACCTGATCAAATAATAAATATATATGGTATAATTGCAGCTACGTATTAGTATGTTATTCAGATGATTGTTGTTGGAATTTGAAGGCGTCTGTTAGGAAAAATACAGACATAGTTAAAGTGAGATACTTCAATAGTGAACATACATGTCCATTGAGGGATAGGGTATTAAGTAAGGTACATGATATTGTTGGGTTTGTTAGTGGTGTGACAGCTCCAAAGTTAGTGAATCATAAAAGAAAACATACTCCAAACGATATAATTGATGATGTTAGGTCACTATATGGAGTTGAAATTTCTTACCAACAAGCATGGTGTGCTAAAGAACGTGCATTGGAGATGATAAGGGGTAGACAAGCAGATGGATATAAACAGATGCCAAAATACATATATATGTTAGAAACTGTGTATCCAAATTCATATATACGAATGCACAAGGCCCAAAAAAATGAGTTTATGTATCTCTTCATATCATTAAGGCCAATGATAAGAGGGTTTGAGTTATGCAGGTGTCACATCCCAAAAATCTGGATGTGATTGCATGTGTCCATTTCCCATCGGACACGTTAGCCTAACCTAACCACAACGATAGATAAGTAGAAATACGAGAATAAAAGATAATAAATAAGCGGAAGACTTTAATTGAGACTCAACACTACCCAGAATTTGGTTGTCACATGTACAAACCTCTAAATACATATTCGAATAAAAATATACAAGTCTCAGAGTATAGTTCTCGAATAGAACAAAACTGAAAGTAAAGATAACTCAAGGGCACGTCTGGAATGAACCGCTACCTCTCGAGTATGTCCTGAAGCTCAATCTGATAAAGAAAACACTAAGCCGAATATGAGAGAGAGCTGTCAACCTACACAATTGTGTAGAAGCAAGGGTGAGTACCGAAAACCACAGGTACTCGCAAGTAACTCTAAACTAAGCAAAACTAGCAGCTACAAACAACTCCTTACAATCCCAACCGAACCACCGAAACTTCATTCTAACAGCGAACCAACAACCTATACTACACAATTCATAATCAACATATATATCCAACAGTGTCTCAAAATCAACCTCATATCCTCATATAAGAGCAAATAGATCATATATCACATGAAGAGGAGCAAGTAGGTAAAATCCACACACCACAGACAAAGATGAAGTGAAATGCGATGCAAATGCAATAATGATGTCATGTAGTCGTGATGCATGTCTGTCCTACGATACACATCTGTTGACGTAATCAGTCCGCGCTGAATACTCAAATCAGAACCCATGGGGGCCACACATGGACCATGTATCACCGCCGGAACCAGATCCCATCGGCATCCAAATCGCTAGCGCCGGAGTTAGTCCATCTCGTATATCTCTAGCCGGAGCTAGTCTCAATTGTGTCTCATATCCATCCATCCTCATATCAGTGTCATGCAACAGATAGTTCACACATGAGATGAATAATGAATATGCACATGTCATCAATCACAATCATATCACGATCACATCATAGTATTACACATCATCTGTTTCAATCACAACCATATAACGACCACATCATAGTATTACACATCATCTGTTTCAATCACAACCATATAACGACCACATCATAGTATTACACATCATCTGTTCAATCACAACCATATAACGACCACATCATAGTATTACACATCATCTGTTTCAATCACAACCATATAACGACCACATCATAGTATTACACATCATCTGTTTCAATCACAACCATATAACGACCACATCATAGTATTACACATCATCTGTTCAATCACAACCATATAACGACCACATCATAGTATTACACATCATCTGTCTCAACGTCAATGTATGTATCAATCATAGCCTACTCGTGCTCTTCTATCCCCTCAATATCAGTTATCACATGACTTATTCAACAAATTCAAGTCACATATAACATATTTAGCTCGTTTTATTCCCTATCTTTCATTTACAACAATTTCAATCAACAAATAAAACCCATCCTCAATCCCCATTACACCCCAACACAATTAGGAAGGTAGTCATGTGTAGTCTAAGAGTTTAACAAAGTTTAGAGGTCACTTGCCTTAAAACGACCTTCCAAAAGGTCATTTTATGAAAATTTCCAAAAATGACCTTCAGGGTCATTACAGCAGGCTTGCTGTTGTTGTTGATGCTTTACATATTAGCAGAGCTTATTGAGGGACATTTGTATCGGCAAGTACACCCGATGGGGCAGGTATGTCATGTTGTTTATTAATTTAATTTTTTAAGATAGTAATATAACATCCTGCAACAATTATGTATAAAGAATCATAATGTTGTGTGTTTCAATGTTAAGGTTGTATATTGTCGTTAGCTTATGGAATTGTAAACACGAAAAATGATTGTTCATGGACATAGTTCTTCCAACAGTTTAAAAATGTATTTGGTGATAGAGAACAAATGTATGTTGTATCAGATAGAAATGAAAGAATAATGAAGAGTGTAAGTATTGTTTATCCAAATGTTCCTCATTTTGCTTGCATATGGCACCTCTGGAAAAATGTGTTTACATACTTCAGGAAAAGCAGATCCATACTAACTGATCTGTTCTATTCAATGGCAAAGGCTTATCGGAAAGATGATTTTGAAAAATTAATGGCTAAAGTGGAAAAAGTATATGGCAGAATTAAGAAGTATTTTCAAGATGTTGGGTATGAAAGGTGGGCTAGATCTCATGCAACAGTGAGCAGGGGGGAAATGATGACTTCGAACATAGAGGAATGTATCAATGGTTGCCTAGTTGATGCACGCCAATTACGTATTATAGTCTTTCTAAAAGAAGCTAGAATTCTATTTGGTACTTGGAATTGCAAAAATCGAGAAATGACATCTTATACAAAGGAAACATTAGGGAGAAGATTTGAAGAAATATTGATTATAAACGCATCCAAATGTGCGAAAATGAAGGTACATATCTGTATTACAAGTATTATGTTTCTAGCTTTACTTCTCATTATATTATTATGTATACCAAATCAAAATTCGTTTAATGTATCTCTAAATTTTAAACATTTGCAGGTTGTTGCATCTTCTGAATATATTTTTGCAGTGTATGAAGGTGGGATAAGATACATTGTTTCTCTTGAGAGGAAAACTTGTTCATGTGGTAGATTTCAACATGACGAGATACCTTGTGCGCACGCAATGGCTGTTTTGAAGAAGAGGAATATTAAAGATGTACATCCCTACTGCTCTGATTACTGTAAACATGATGCATTAACAAACACATATGCAGTTCCAATAGAACCAATGCTAGACAAAAGTGATTGGATAGCTCCGAAATGTGTGTTGGAAGAAGTCGTCTTGCCACCAAGATACAAAAAAATGCCTGGAAGGCCTGGAAAAAAGAGGAGGAAAAATCCAGATGAAAAGAACATGTACTTTCTTCCCGAAAGATTCTTGATGCTTTCTATTTAGATGTAATTTTATGCTTCATGTCTAATAATTCTCAAATTTGATACTTTATTAAGTACTTTTAGGTTACTATTTTATGATGCAATAAATGAAAACTGTTATGATTTGAATTTTGGCTACATTTTTTGATTGTTAATTTCTAATAAAGTTAGTTTGGTAAACATTGTTGTGTGTCTGATACTTAATTGTTTGTAAATTTTGTATTGGATAAAACAATAGTATCAATAGATGTGATGTGTGCCAAAGTTAAAAGAGACAACATGTAAAAAAGGTATCATTTGAAGCAATTATATATCATATACATAATATCTTCTTCTAAATATTGTATCTACTAATAATAGAGTATCGGAAGTTGAATTTTTTACCAATATTATATATCTTATACATACAATTTTGATATTTGTGGATGCAATTGTGTTTCATGTACATACTAATTCTCTGGAAATTTAATATCAGCTTAAAAAAATTAGAGTAATTTTAGAATCAATTTTGTATATTTGATACTTAATATCTTTGTAATGATGTGTGCCAAAGTTAAAAGAGACAACATGTAAAAAAGGTATCATTTGAAGCAATGATATATCATATACATAATATCTTCTTCTAAATTTTTGTATCTACTAATAATAGAGTATCGGAAGTTATATTTTTTATCAATATTATATATCATATACATATAATTTTGATATTTGTGGACGCAATTGTGTTTCATGTACATAATAATTTTTTGGAAATTTAATATCAGCTTAAAAAAAGTTAGAGTAATTTTAGTATCAATTTTGTGTATTT